ATCAGTTGCTTTCAAGTTATTACATTTTATGGTGGTTTGTAATCAGCAACAAACAGATAAAATACTGTCAAACACCTTTCCAATATGACTATAGCCAATTTATACTGCTACCAGTGAAGTATGACAATATCACATGTAAGCAAAGATATGAATCAACTATACTTCTTATTAATTTTGCTGGTCAGAGATTCTGGTGAATATACCTGTGAATCTATCATAAAAGTAAATGAGGGCTATAAAAAAAAAAGTCAAATGGCTTAGGAAAATGATGAGACCATGTTTTATGATCCTATGTTTTTAACACTTCAACGCAGTATTCTAACGCATACTGGCAACCTGGTTTACTTAAACTGCCTCAGTTTACTCATCTGTAAAGTAAAAGTAATCCTAGATTCCTGCAGTGCTGCAATGAGCATTAGAAATCTGACAGGGAATTTAGTAGATGCATAATATAGCTTCTCAAGCTTTTCAAGGCATCTATGAGAGAAAAAGTCTAGATTCTTCCTCTTTTCTTGATTTTCCTGCAGAAAATCCAATAGAGGTCGGTAAAAGATGGGGGGTGGGGTGGGGTAGCAATTGGAGATGGTGGCAGGGCCAGTATCAGACGGAGGAATGAAGTCACCTTGCCCCACTATTCCTTAATCCTTCCTCACCCATGTATCTCCTCACAACCCCAGAATAAGCAAACATAAAAAAAAAAAGACTGTCTAGAAAAGTCATTCCTTCAGAAATCAGACAGGTAAAGCCCAGCAGGGCCACCGGGAGGAGGGAATGGTGAGGACTAAAGCAAACAGGAATGGACAAGCCAGTGCAGTTCAAATGTAATTTTTTGAAGGACAAAATAAACACAAAATATGCAACCCGAATCCAGCCTGTGGGATTGCTGCTTCTGTGACTTTACTCGCTCCTTCTTCCACTGTGTCTAACTGGCCACTCATTCCTAGAGATTCTACCTTGGAGGCACTGTCAGCTCTGCTCTTTTCTTCTCATCCCCATTTGCATCTGCTTGAGTTTCTGTCTTCAGTCTGGATTAACTGCAACCCGCCTCCATACTGCTAGCAGGTGGGTCTTTTTAGGATGTAATCTGAGCTCCTCACTTGATGCTTCAGATCTTTGGTGGTTCCCATAGCTCTCGGACAATGGTCAGACTTCTTGGTTTAGTGCAAAGGCCTTCCAAGATACAGCCCATTTCTTTACCTTACCTTTTCAGCCTTTCCCTGGGCCTGTGTTATACCTACATTCAACAGTGTAGACTTGGCCCGTTTTTTTTGTTTGTTTGTTTTGTTTTTTTAAAGATTTTATTTATTTATTTAAGAGAGAGAATGAGAGAGAGAGAGAGAGAGCAGGAGAGGGGGGAAGGTCAGAGGGAGAAGCAGACTTCCTGCTGAGCAGGGAGCCTGATGCGGGACTCGATCCTGGGACTCCAAGATCATGACCTGAGCCGAAGGCAGTCGCTTGACCAACTGAGCCACCCAGGCGCCCTAGACTTGGCCTGTTTTTTAATGGGGTTGTTTCATTATTGAGTTGTAAATGTTCTCTGCATTTGAGCCCTCTGGACTCAAATCCCTTACCAGATATATGACTTGCAAATATTTTCTTGAATAAATGAATCTTCATTTGCTTCCTGATTTTGAATCATTACTAGAGATTTTAAATGTTTATTTTTTTTAAAGATTTTATTTATCAATTTATTTTAGAGAGCGAGTGTGCACATGTGCGCATATGAGTGGGGGGAGGGGTAGAGGGGGAGGGAGAAGAAGAGAGAATCTGAAGCAGACTCTGTAGTGAGCCCAGAGCCCGTGGCAGGGCTTAACATGACAGTGAGATCATGACCTGAGCTGAAACCAAGAGTTGGACACTTAACCACTGAGCCACCCAGGCGCCCCTAAATGTTTATTTTATTTTTAAAATAATTGTCATTATTTATGGCTGATTCCTCAGGGAGTGGGTCCACAGAGTTTCTCATGCCAACATTGTGGGATTGGATCTTCCCATAATGCTAATTTTAATTTTAATTTCCTCAACAACTAATGATGTTGGACACTTTTCCAAAGGCTTATTCAGGCGTATGCTCTTTTGTTGTTGTTGTTGAGTTGTTTGATTTTTATGTTATTGATTACTAGGAGTTCTTTAAAGAGTCTATAAATGAGTATAATGTTGAATATATGTAATTACAGTATTTTCTTCCAGTCTGTGGCTTGCCTTTTACTTTCTTTTTTTTTTTCCTAAAGATTATTTATTTATTTGACAGAGAGAGAGAGCAAGATAGTGAGAGTGGGAACACAAGCAGGGGAAGTGGGAGAGGGAGAAGCAGGCTTCCCGCGGAGCAGGGAGCCCGATGTGGGGCTTGATCCCAGGACCCTGGGATCATGACCTGAGCTGAAGGCAGATGCCTAACAACTGAGCCACCCAGGCACCCCCCCAAAGCAGATGTTTAACCGACTGAGCCACCCAGGCACCCCTGCCCTTTACTTTCTTAATGGTGTCTTTTAATTGACAGAGGCTCTTAATTTAATCAAGCCCAACTATAATCTTTTTCTTTAATGGTTAGTGCTTTTGTATATCATATTTAAGAACTATTTACCTGCCAAAAGGTCATGAAAATATTCTTCTATGTTTTCTTCTAGAAACTTTTTTTTTTCAATTTAATTCTATGGCCCATCTTGAATTTTTCTTTGCATATGATGTAAGGTAAGATTTTTTTTTTCTCCGATATGGATCCAATTGAACAAAGCAACATTCATTAAAAGGACCATCTTTTTCTTACTGAATTACACCTTTGTCATGAATTAAGTGACCATTTATGTGTAGGTCTTTTTCTGTACTCTTTATTCTGCTCCATTGATCTAGATATGTATCCTTGAGCTCAGACCACTCTGTTTTAATTAGTGTTGCTTTATGATAAAGCTTAAAATTTGATAATCTAAGTCTTACAAGTTTGTTCTATAAGATTTCGTTTGCTATTTTTCTTATTATGTTATGTTAATCACCATACAATACATCATTAGTTTTTGATGTAGTGTTCCATGATTCATTGTTTGCGTATAACACCCAGTGCTCCCTGCAGAACGTGCCCTCTTTAATACCCATCAGCAGGCTAACCCATCCCCCCACCCCCCTCCCCTCTAAAACCCTCAGTTTGTTTGCTGAGATTAAGCATTCCTCATATCAGTGAGATCATATGATACATGTCTTTCTCTGATTGACTTATTTTGCTCAGCATAATACCCTCCAGTTCCATCCACGTCATTGCAAATGGCAAGATTTCATTCCTTTTGATGGCTGCATAATATTCCATTGTGTGTGTGTGTGTGTGTGTGTGTGTATCAATATATCACATCTTCTTTATCCATTCACCTGTCAGTGGACATCTGGGCTCTTTCCATAGTTTGGCTATTGTGGACATTGTTGCTATAAACATTGGGGTGCAGGTGCCCCTTTGGATCCCTACATTTGTATATTTGGGGTAAATACCCAGTGGTGCAATTGCTGGATCGTATGGTAGCTCTATTTTCAACTTTTTGAAGAACCTCCAAAAAATATGGAATGCTTCACGAATTTGCGTGTCATCCTTGCACAGGGGCCATGCTAATCTTCTCTGTATTGTTCCAATTTTAGTATATGTGCTGCTGAAGCGAGCACTTCGTTGGCTATTTTGCTGCTTTTGCATTTTCTATATAAATGCTTGTGAGTTTACACACACACACCCCTGCCTGTTGGGATTTTGATCAAACTGAATTGACTTTGTAGATCAATAAGGAGAATTTTGACATTTGAATAATATTGAGTCTTCTGGTCCATGGACATGGTACATTTCTCCTTTTACTTAGGTCTTCTTTAACTAGTTTCAGTAATACTTTGTGGTTTCAATGCCTTGCACATCTTTTGTTAGATTTATTTCTAGACATTTGGGTTTTCATATTATTGTAAATAGTAGGGTTTTTCAGATTTTATTTTTCAGTTGGTTTTGCTAGAATGTAGAAATACAATTTGTTTTCATCATCCAGCAACCACGCCCAATTTATGTTTATTCTAATTGTAATTCTTTAGAATTTCCCATGTATATGATTATTCTGATTTTCATTTCTGCCACTATCATGAATATGTTTCTTCTTCAATTATTTCTTCCACAGTAGATCTCTACTTTTTTATGCTTAGTAAGAAAGCTGATCATTTCCTGGTTGACATACATTTCTTTTGATGGTTAGACAAACAAACAAAAAGATTCCACTGTGGTTCACTGAAGTTATTGGGCACTTTGTTGCCATATCTAATTGAATCCAGAATATAACAATTTAGTGAGAAAAGCAAAGAGTGACTCAGACAAGAATTTGTTTAATTCAACCATAAACTTCCCATATACATCAAAGCTCAAGATATCTCTTTTCTGGCTTGGGTTTCCTGAGTCCCATGTTATCTTTCTTAAAGTATTTCCCATGAAGTTTATCTTTAGTCACAGATTTATCTGCCAATTCTAAGAAAAAATTATATTTTCTCACTCCATTCTCTCCTCTTCCAGCAACACAATACGTATTAGCTACTTCCTCTAGTATGTGTTAATATTAACAAGACGTTCAACTTTTCCAGTCCCTTCCACAGTGACATAATCCTTTATAGCCACTAATTATTTTCTTATTAAGGCCAAAGGATTTGACTAACTCTAGTCCCTTCAGATAATAATTACATTCTGATAGCTTGATAGCCTTGTATGTAAACTATTTTGAATGTCAAGTTAGAGGGAATCTTTTGCATCGTGTTATCAAGAAAGAAAATCCAGATGAAATCATTTTCACAGTAGACTTTGGCTTAGTTGTGGTTTAAAAATTACTCTTGTGAAGAACTGCAAAACGTATATATACATATATTCCTCTAGTTGGAACACCAGCTTGGTAATTCTAGGATTATCCTGCCACTGAGCTAGGATTAACATCAAGGACCTTGTTCTGTTTCTTGTGTAAAGTTAGTGTTTAGTAAATACTTTTTGATTCATTTGAAGAAAGATGTCATTCCAGAACCAGTCAAGTGTTCTTCATAAATTCAAGGGGATCCTCTTTTCTACTATGTCTTCAGAAGAACTTTTAAATTCCCTGGATTTTTTCAATGCAAGAGAAGATGATGTGTTTCTGGTGTCCTATCCAAAATCTGGTAAATTTTATTTTAATGTATTTTTAAATGTATAAGTACATTTTAAAATGTGTGAAATATAAGAAATAAGAAGTATAATATTCTACTATATAGAAATATAATAATAATATAATAATGTAATATACTACTCTATAGAAATATAATAACAATTTTTACAAAACATTTATTTTTCAGAATTTATCCATAGGAAATTTAAGTATCGTAAATGCTTATTTTAATGAAAAAGTTTGACATTAGAAAGCTGAAAACTGTGTTTTGAGAAAATTCAACTGGAGGAATTAGAGCTTTTACTCCAGTCTTGTTTCTCTTTTATTCATTAAAGTATACGGATGTTGATATACATAATAAGCATAATATCTGTAACATTATAAAGTTCTCTTCATACTTGTGCCAGGCATGGGAATAAGCAATATTTGTTCAATTCATACTTAATGATTGATTTATAAATGAAAACTTCTTTTTTCCCGGGCTAATCAAAAAAACATAAGTATTTTTAGCGTTCAATTTTTTTAAATATTTTATTTATTTATTTGAGAGCCAGAGATAGAGCAGGAGCAGAGGGGAAGGAGCTGAGGGAGAGGGAGAAGCCGACTCCCCACTGATGCAGGGCTCTATCCCAGGACCCTGAGATCATGACCTGAGCCGAAGGCACACTCTTAACTGACTGAGACACTCAGGTGCCCCTTTAGTGTTCAATTTTATGCCTTCTTATGCAAAGTTTATTTCCACATATAGTTATACACTCATGAAAGGACCATTATGAATAATGTCATTCTGGGGATAATCTAAATTAATTATAGATTCTTTTTAATTTTGAGAGGTGGCCAGGATATATAATATCCAACTGCCTGCTGTGATTTCCAGAAGAGTGGACATGTGTGAATGGGCATATGCTTGCTAGCATGATTCAGTAACTAAGAGCTTAGCCCCTTCAAATCGTGTTTACATTTTAGTCCCTTTATCTGATTGTGAGTCAGGCCCAAAGGCCCTCCCCATTAGAAGACACACAGTTCATATAGATCTTCCAGGGTGTTTTTTGAGAATAAATATAAATCACATATGTAATTCTTTTATTGGAAAATGGTGTTGCAAATGGAAATTAAATGATTCTTTCCAGAATACCTCAGTATTCTCTCTATGTAGTAGGTTGCTCTGTGAATAAATATACCTTACCCTAAATTGATATGTTAGTGTAGAAAGTAATTTATGATACTTTTAAGGTTCTTTGAGCAGGTGGCTAGTTTATACCATATATAAACAACCATATATAAAGCTTCCACTGCACATATTGATGCCTATAAATTGATATCACCCGCCAGCTCTGGAGGTCCCCTGAATACAGCCCAAAACTGTATTCTCCCTTCTTCACCAGAATAAATCAATACATCTTGTGAACATAATAGAAATGTCATTACAATATTAGTCATGTTTATATGAATATTATAAACAGTTGACTTATGAGCATTATAATTTAAAATAGTCTTAAATTTAAAACATCATGCAAATGAGAGCACTGTTTAAATATTTATTCAGCTATAAATTAGCGAATATTGTTAACAAATTTCGAATTCGAATTACAAATGAGATCAATGGAAAGGAAATAGGCTGTAAAACTTTTTAGGAACATTGCTTTCAAATCAGCAAAGCATCCTCCCCATCCAAACTTCTACTTCCCTGTTCCAGTTTACTATTGTCTACAACACTGGAGCATACCCACATTTGCTTTATGTATTCCTTCTAGACTTCATGGTAGCATAGGATTGTATCTTTATGCTGTTTGAATATAGCATTTGTTCATCGTTCAAGTGCTTTGTTTGCATGCCTACTCTATGTTTGCACACAAATAAAAATAAGATCCAGTGGCTATCTTCCAGGGGGAAATGGGGAGGTACACATAAATACAAGCAATAGCAACTAGACTCTGGTGTGCGCTACTTGGGAGGGACAGAAAGGGTAAACAATTATGCCAGGGTAGTGGGACTCAGAAGACAATTTATAAAAGAGCAAGATGCATGAGCTTGCAGGACCGGTGGGAACTGTGTATGGAAAGATCTGTGTATTTGTGAATTGGAGAAGGTGTTAGAGGTGAGTGTAGCACAGAAGAGTATTTCAAGCTGAGGAAACAGCATAGACAGTTCTCAGTCTCTTCACGCTCTTTAAAGTGTGATTCTTCCTGTAAAATGAATTAACGTCTCTAGCGTTTCAACGAGTGTCTCAGGTTTCAATGGGTGTCAAGAGGTAATAATAACTATAACAAAATTAATGCACTCCTTGCTATTATAACCTCATGCTAATTTTCTATATTTATTTCATCAAGAATTTCATTTAATTTAAAAAATGCATTTTGTTTTATTTTTATGTGAAGGTACTCACTGGATTGCAGAGGTCATTGGGAACATTCCGAATGCTCGAATTAGTTTAACGTCTCCTATCGAGTTGGGAGACATTTCTAAATTTGACGAGCTAAAAATGAACTGTAAGAGAAGAGTTATTCCCACGCATTTGAGCTACAACATGCTACCAGTGAATATCAAACAAAAACAATGCAAGGTGAGTTCAGTGGTTAAGGGCAAAGGCTTGGGAGGACCAAAAACCGGGCTTGAGTTCTTGCTCTGCCACTCTCAAGCTGTGTGATCTTGAAAAATTGCTGATGCTCTCTGAGCCTTGGTTTCCTCATTTGATACAGAAACAACAAGATCCATCAAATACAGTGTGGCAAAGATTAAGCTATGTTTTATAAACACATTACAACAAAGACAAGAATAGATGTTTTTCCTTTCATCGGCAAAGAAACTGAAGCTCAGAAAGGATAGGGGGCTTCTTAAAACCACCACAGTAAAGACAGAGCCTTAAGGTACAATCCTAAAGGGAAGTGAGACTCTCTGGTTGCACCTGGTTTCCCAAGATGATGACCTTTTCTCTGTTTCCCCCTGCCTAGCCCTCAGAGCTTAGGGGCTGCTCGAACATTCCGTGCTCCAGTAGGCCTGTCAGATAGTCAATTCTTCTTGCCATCTTTCCCTACCGGCCCTCAACCCTACTTAGCCTCCTATGTTTTCTTCCTAATTTTGTCTTCCCGCCTTTTTTTCTGCTTCCAAACTCTCTTACATGAAATGTCTGCTCATTTCACGATATTTAGTTAACATTTAATTTTTTTTCTCAGGGTACTATTCTGCCTCCTCTTCATATCTTTCAACCACCCCCTAATATTTCTTAGAATATTGTACGTGTGTGTTTATTGAGTATCATTGACATACAACATTGTATTAGTTTCGGATATATCACTTAACGACTCAATATTAGTATATATTGTGAAATGATCTTCACAATAAGTCTACTTAACATGTCGCTACACATAACTACAGAATACTTCTTTTAACCTCTTTTGCCAAAATATGTATTAATGTATTAGTAGTTTGCATTGTCTTTCCCAGGGGATGATACTGACATGTAACGACGGGTATTCTCCAAAGGCCCTAAAGCATGCTTCTGTCTACCAAAACAAACAGACAAAAAACTCCAATTGGTGGCTAAGGCTTCGCATTCTGCCACTTTATCCCTTTTTGTTAACACAGGGAGTGGTTTTTTTTTTTTTTACTTTAAATTTTTTATTGTTATGTTAATCACCATACATTACATCACTAGTTTTGGATGTAGTGTTCCATGATTCATTGTTTGTGCATAACACCCACTGCTCCATGCAGTACGTGCCCTCTTTAATACCCATCACCAGGCTAACCCATCCCCCACCCCCCTCCCCTCTAGAACCCTCAGTTTGTTTTTCAGAGTCCAGACAGGGAGTGGATTTTTAAACCGCTTTCAGAGCCTTGGGGTTCTGCGAATCCGCTCAGGACGCAGAGAGCCGTTAGAGAAAGCCTGAAGTGTTGAGTTACTCCATAATTTTCTCTTGAGAGAAAGAGAGGATAATGGGGGCAGAACAGGGGGTAAACGTGGCTTTTCACTTCTGAGCACAGTGGCCTTTACACATCTCTCAAGAGGAACAGGTGCTGTTCATGTGGGTCACACATGCGACTCCTGGACTATGAACATTGTACAGAAAGATAGTCATGTATTAAATATGACTCAGTTAACGCTTTCTTACCTATGTAACATGTGTCCACCTGATCATCGATTTAAGAGTAAGTGGAACATCTGGTCCTCATGCAACACTGTTGATCGAAGATAGTCCTATTATATCCAGCTCCTCGCACTGGTTTCCTGAGGTTTCTTTATATGCTCTTACTGCACTCCATACGTACTTATTATAACCTTCATGACACTGCATTCCCTTACCTGTTTTGAGAGAGCTGGTAACATTTCTGTCTTGCTCGTCAGATTTCTCAGACCTGGAACATTCCACTCTGCCTGGTCTGCAGTAGGTACTAAACAAAATGTATTAAATTGAATCCGATTGCAAGGGCAGTGTTTGTATAAATTGGGAGGGTGGCTCAGATTCCCTACTCTGGGGGATGCAATTGTAGAAAATGAAATTCCAAAACATCATTCTTCCTATAAATAAGAGTAGGCAATTTACAAGAAATCTTAGTGTATTTAAATCATGTGTTATAACATTAAAATTATTTAAATTTTATCACATTAAAATATTTCATATTACAAAAGTAATCTTGTCCTCCAAATGAATAGACAGTTTCTCGAATACTCTGCTAAAGAGATAGAGCCATATTTAGGGCCTAAATTGAAAAATTGTGGTCAGTGGACTGGCAGTACCAACCTCACCTGGGGGCTTGTTAGAAATGCAGAAAGCTAAGCCTTATCCTGGACCCCTTGCATCAGAATCTGCATTTTAGCAAGATCCCAGGAGATTCTTGTGCACATTAACTTTTGAGAAACACTGGCCTGAGTCTGTGCTTGATAATCAGTATAAGCTGCCAAAAAATTGTGGCGTGTACAGGTTAAGTCCGGTTGCTTTTTTTTAAGAACATATTTTGTGTGGGGGCTGTTTCCTTCTAAAAATAAACTGATTTTTTTTAACAGATTATCTACATCGTTAGGAATCCAAAAGATACGGCTGTTTCTTTATTCCACTACTACAGAGATAACCCGAATCTCCCTGGCATTGAAACCTGGGCTGCATTTTTCGAGCTTTTCCTAAGAGGAGATGGTAAATATAACAACGATTTCTATTCATCATATACAGTTCCCCTCCAAATGAAAGCATTTTCCAAAAGTTTAACTGGATCCTAACGGCCCACTTTCAGAAATACATTTGAACAGATTTTTTTTTTTTTTTACTTCTAAGCCATTCTTTCTCCCTTTGCTTCTTCACAGACTTTCTTATCACCTGTAGAGAGTACAGATATGCAATTACTTATTGAGCTGGTTGCAGTGTTTTTAAAACAGAGATTAATTCCGATCAAGCATCACTTTTTTTTCACGTAAGATCAGTTTTGTCAGTGAAATAATTATGCATTGATTGGAGTAGAGGAAGATACAGTTGAAACTGCACAGGCAGCCTGAAATAGGTCTTATGTAGGCCTAAACGGAAAATAAGACAAGACCAACAAACAATACACACACACACACACACACACACACAAATTCTCCCTCCCCTTCCCCACAAAAAGGGGGAAAAATTCCCCAAATAACAGAAATGAAAGAATTAGCCATCCTCACACTTGGTTTATAACGATGAACAAAAAGCAATTTCTCCTGAAAATACTAAAATGATACATCATTTGATTGAGCTGTGCAGCGCACGCATATTGATCCTGCGTAACTATGCATGACCTTTGAATTTATTACTTTTTCCCTGACTCACTGGTACCTGGAGCACTTAAAAACAAAAACGAAAAACAGTTCTCAAACCTGAATTCCCAAGCCTTTCATTAAACAAAAATAATGTACCAAGACAATGCAGAATTTAGAAGAGGCATGATTTAGAAACGGTGTGTACCCATAGGATCTTATCTCTTACAGGGGTTAGAGGTAGACCTGCTTAATTGTTAGTTTCCCTATTTCACTTGCAAATGATTAAGGTTTTACTTGTTACTCTCAGAGAGGCCACAGCAAGTATAACCTTAACAGGACGGTATTGAGAACTCCCTAGCAACAGAGTTTAACGCTTTCTTTTGCCGTATTCCCTATGGAAGAATATGCTATGCTCATAATATTTCAGCTCCTCTTTTACAAACATTTAGTAGAGTCATAAAGTTTCAGGAATGACAAGTCTATTAAAGGTCAGTTGGTTAAAATCCCCCACCTATGTTTGAATCGCCTTTGTAACATTCCCAAGAATTGGATGGGCTAAAGGTGAACTTCTTAACTTTGATAACAGGTTCACACCCAGCTCCTGCCCCCAGATGACACATTCCATCTCAGTACTGCTAAGATGTTAAAAAAAAAACCCAAAAAACAAAAAACTTATTATGTGATATAGACACTTAGCTAAGAGCTATGCAAACACGATCTCATATCATCCTCAGTAGAGCACACGAGCTAGATGTTATCCTCATTTTATAGGTGAGGAAAATGCAGATGTTGGCGGGCCAAATAAGTTGCATAACTCATAAGGAGCCAAGGTTTAAATTCAGGTGTCAGCTCCACAGTCTTTGCTGTTAGCACCGTGGCATAACTGGTCCAGCAAAAGTCTGTTCCTCTGATCACTAATGCCTCTTCCACACGATGGTCTTCTAAATATTTGAAGATGGTTAGCATGCCTCACTCTGCCTCAATTCCATTTTTGGAATGAACCAAGTTTAAATACATAAATTGTTTAAAAAAAAAACAGATCTTGAGTCTGCTTTTCCTCAGGAAAAGCCATGTTCATCTCCAATTATTACACACTGGGGTTCACTACCTCTCCCACTGCTGCATGACCTCTCATTTGGCTACATCTCTATTGTGTTGCAGTGCCCAAAGACAAAAAACATCCTCTGGGTATGGTCTGACTAGGGCAGGATAAAGCAGGCCTGTTAGTGCTCCTGTTCTAGAAGTTATTTTTCTATGAATGTGGTCACAAAAAGGGCAACTCAGTCCATAGGCAGGGAAGCAAACTATCTGTCATAGGGCATCCACCAACCACCCCATTATCTGATGTCATAGCAGAGTATCTGGGAAGGGCAATTAGTTGGAGAAAATATTCCAGATGATTCTTTTATACCTTCTTAGGTGTGTTAATAGATTTTTAATTGCAAAGGGATCTGCTGTGTATTAGATAATCAGGTAATCTAGCCTGGGCAAACCCTGCTGACACCGGGAGTAATCAGTGAATTGCTAAAGCTTTTTAAAATTTACTTAGTGGGAACAGTATTTATAAGATAAGGTTGTTTGTTCTCCTGTCAAAGGTAGGTGACTGTATTTCAGGGATGTTCCTCAGTGACTTTTTGAGGAGAGGATTTTTTCTCTTGCCAATGACAACCTGAAAAACAGGCTATGGAGACAGAAGAAGTGGGATCAAGTCTTAACTATAATTTATACCCTCTGTGACTGTGGGCAGATTGCTTAACCATTCTGAGGCCCAGACTTGGATTCTGTAGGTCTATTTAGATGTTCAAATGAAGTCATGACTAGAAATTTATTGTAGAAATCTACTCATTCTATTGGACATAGACTTTTAAAGACAGGCAAAGACTTTTAAATAATTTCACTTTAGGGTGGAAAAATTACAAGGAGGTATTTATCTAGAAAAATTATTTTACAACTGAAGCGTCATGATATCCTGTACCTGTTTCCAAACCATAAATATATACACATTATATGAGGAGACCGTACCATAAAGACATAGATAGCTACACATTTGTCTAATCATTTAATTTACCTTTCAGACAGTTTACAAATACATTTTAGGTTTTTAAATTAAATAGTAACTAGAAACTGTGTTCTGGCAATATCCCAACAGATTAATATCTCAATGAAATAATATCTTGGCATCATACTTTTTTTTTTCCGCTAGCCCCTTCTCCAGTCTTATATGAGAACTCCATATTTCCTAGGCACTTCATCCTGGTGAATTTCGGCACAATCATCAGAGTGCTTTCTAGAAAATAGCAATTAAGATATTCGTTGAAACTGGATAGGAGTGGGGCAGAGGGTTTGCAGAAAGTGTGGGAGGTTTGAAATCGCTGATGTGGAGAATAGGAGAATGTGTTAATGCAGGACAAATAGGTTTGCCAGGCAACCTCGGGATCCTTAAGGCTGGAAAAATGAATTTGCAGTGGTGTCAGTATAGAGTTGTATAAATTTCTTCACCAGAACTCAGTAGCATTAGGCAAGAAGAAAACAAGGTAAAGTGTTTTGATTGAATCCTGAGTGTTTTTTCAGGTGACTGAAATAAACAAGAAGAGAGCAAGGAAGTTGAAGCTTTTGCCCAGAAAACAGTTGCGGAGATGAACAAGGGGAAGAAAATGAAGATTAAAAAGGACACAAATGGTCCAAGTAGGGTATTTGCAGAAGCTGTCCATCAAAGTGTTGGCAGCAAGAACTGAACTGCCCCAGGAGGTTGTGCTCTAAGATCAGAGTCTTCCGTGACTGCAGGGGACAGATCAGAAAGTCCATTTCTGACAGAGATAAGGCTAGGAAGAGTGATATATTCAAAGGATGCGAGTCTTTAAAGGAGCCTGGGTTATCTCGGAGGGAGTTCTGGAAGTTGGTAGGAAGCAGTGAGATTGCTGATGCACAATCCAGACCCTAAGGCACTTGGATTGGTTGAGAAAGAGCAACTTCTGTTCAGGGGCATTTCGGAGGGAATAAGTAATTCTGGATAACAAACAGAAGGAGGGCCATCTAGGAGGTGGTAGAAAATTCTGTCATTGAGTGAAGGATGCAGAGAAAAGCATTTCCCAGAAAAGAAAGGTTTTAAGTCTCTGTTTTGGAAACTGTATTTTCTTTAAAGCCATAGGTCTGGTTAATTAAAAAATTAACCCGAAGTCTAATTCTCTACATGGGTAAGAAAGACCCAGGCAGCCTATTTCTTTAGATTCTTTTGTCTTTTTGGAACAAGATGGAGTATAAATTAATTAGTTAATAACAGAATAGCTGGCTCTCAAATGATGATCAAATGATGATCAGGCTATGATCCAAAAGATTATTCTGAAATCTATTTGGGGTATGTTGGAATGCATTTCGTGCTGCAAAACCACAATGGGCCGAGTCAATCACACCTAACCACCGGCTGTGACTCTGTGACTCAGGGCCTCTTTCTCAGGCCAGCCTCAGGGCGCACAGAAGTGTGGGCTTCCTGACAGTATCGAGGGCTTCCATTGCATCCTCAGCTCTGGGTGGTGATATTATCCACCGGGGCTGGGCTGGACTGCTGCTGCCCAGGGGAGGTGGTGATGCAGGTGGTGACTGTGAGCCTCGCGTGAGGCAATAGAGACTAGTTCACTGCCTAAATTCCTCGGAGAGAAAATCAGTGCTCTTTGCCACCAGGTATTTGCTCCTGGGAGCAGACTGTTTGCTCTTTGGTCCTTATCACTGATACGGTAATTTGGGTCATTCCAAGATAAAGTCTTATGTAAGTCACTGAACTGGCAGTGAGAATGCTGGGAACTGGAGACCCATCAGCCCTTCCAAACACCTGTTCTTACTCTACAGCCCTCTGGGTCCACGGGGTGGCAAACCGGGCTCTGTGATGATGCTGTTCACAGTCCTGGAAGTTCTCGTTTCACAAATGCCCTATGGTTATTGTCTTGCCCCTTTCTTCCCCCAGGGGCCAAAGCCGTGAACAATTGCAGTTAGTTAGGAGGAAATTATATGTCAATTTATTCAAAACTTTAATGTTCAAAAGTTATATGGCACAATGTCTGGCAGACACTAATGGCTTCATAAATGCTTATTAAATGAATCAATAGTCAGCATATCTTCAGAAAATTGCGAGTGGAGGAGCTCTTTTATAATTTGGGCATTAGCTAGTATTAAGTCTGTGGATAATAAGGATGCATGGAAAGATGTATACCCAGTATTTTAAATTACTCTGTTTTATGCTTTAGATTGTCAAACTAATCAACTCTCTGTGGTACAAGAAGTTGCTCACTTTTTGTTTTTTCATCATCACGGTTGATAATTTATTTTGCATGATAATATTTTACTTCAACATTTTTTTGAAATCTGTCAAATTAACAAAACAATAAAAGAGATAATATCAACTACTGGTAAAGCCCTAACACTGTATTTTTCAGCCTAAGATAATGAATAGAATTCTTTTCTCTTTTCTCTCCCCCCCACTTTTTGAGGAAGTTTATTAACTTTTTATGTTGAGAACTTATAAAAAGCATGTCATTTTACAGGAAGAGAATAATAAATTCTCAATGTTTCTCTACTTCTCCCAAGATCCAAAGTAGTTATCAGAACACAATTATTGGGAAAATGTGTATCTCTGTATTTCTGTTGTCACTTACGATGATGATAAATAGATGTTTACCAAAATAAGAAAAAAACAACACAGCCTTATTAAAAGATACAACCATCCAGCTTCATTTCACAATATTGTATTTAGTTGAAACAGTAGTGTTTTAAAATTGAGCTCTTTTAAGGAAAACTCTTTTTTAAAAATACTTCAGATCTTATTTAATTTTTAATTATTGAGTTTTAGTAAACCTAACTATAAGTTTCTTCATAGATAATGAATGACATGGTATTAACATATGTAATTAACATTTTCTTTCTTTTTCATTTTAAACCCAGTATAGTTAACATATAGCATTATATTAGTTTCAGATGTGTTTCAACAATTCTTAAGTAAAAGTCTTTCACTCCAGAGTCTAATACGTGTTACGTTACTTTACCTACTTTGGTGAAGTGGGAAGAACCGTGGGATGCCAAGCCATGATCTTGAATATTAACACAATTCACTTTCCTTCTAGTTGTGTATGGATCCTGGTTTGATCATGTTTTAAGCTGGGAAGAGCACAAAAATGACAAAAACATTCTAATTATATTCTATGAAGAAATGAAGAAAGTAAGTCCTTCCTAACATTTCAACAATCAAAATTTAAGTCAAATTAAGTTAAAACAAAAAATCAATAAATTCTGTTTTCAGGGTTGAGGGAATGAATTTGGTGTTTCGATGAGTTACACTTTTAAAAAATAATTTTTCTTTTGCTCAGGATCTTTTTAAAAGCATCAAGAAAATAGTTACTTTCCTCGGCATAAATGTGAGTGACAGTGAAATTAATAAGATTGCTCGGAAAACATCATTCAGTGAAATGAAAAATAATGCGGCCAAAGAAAACTGTGATCCAAATCATACTATCTGTGCCCTCACATCTAATAGGAACCTGGTATTTAGAAAAGGTAAGTCAGAAAAGGATGTGGTACTTTGCTTGGGGCTTATATTTGGTAGTAGTTCCATTTTACCATTTTAAAATCTCTCATTTCATCATCGTGCCCCCTATTTCTTGCACAATGGATTGCTCATTGTCATCCCTCAGTGAACGTTTATTAAACGAATTTCTTAAATCGCATTATTTCCAGACATTGAGATTTCCATGCCCAGTTAGGAACCGAGGGAAAGACACAGGTGTCACACAGGTGGAAATGATAAAACTCCTTGAAGAATGGGCCTCAGGTCTGCAGCCTGGTGCATTTGCTAATAACTTATCCTCAAGTTTGCAAACATACTTGCTTAGTCACAATCAAATGCAGTCCTGTCTCTGCACTGAGGCAGCCCACAGAGAGCATGGTGGAGAGAGGTACATGACACATGCTTTCTTCGGAAGAGAGAAGGGAGCTGATGAGTGTGGACAGTGCACTTTCCCAAAATCACCAAAAAACTCACCCCATAGAAGTAAGGCGTAGACAGAGAAGCTAGGAAAGTTATCTCAGGGTGCTCCTCTGCGTGAAAACCCAAAGAGAAGCAAATAAACCTTCTCTACTACTTCCTAACATTGAACTTAGAAGCAGTTTGGGTACATCTGGATATAGAATTGTTTTGAAATCCATGTGAATTTTAGTCCAGATCCAGGGGGAAAAAGTTTGAACATTTTTCAAATTTTTCATAATTTACAATGACAAAATTTTCTGCATTTAGGTACTCAGGTTTCCTACTAAAAAACACACCTTTGTTTCCATTTTTTTGGCTCATCTGAATAGAATTCCTCCCCAAACCAATATGTGCTAACTCATATGGATCAGATAGTGCCTTAACTTTGCAAATTACTTTGGTCTTTTTTGGTGGTTCATTTTTTATTTTCTTACAGTTGCAAAACCAGGGCTGGGAGGGAGGAGAGAACTCAATTCAGCAAATATTTATTAATAAACTATTTTCTAAGAACTGAGATTCAAAAGTTGAATAAAATAGTCTTGTCCTTCAGAAGATCATAATGTAGGCAGTTAGTTATACAAGGTGATGACAACTATACTAGTAGTATGAGCAAATGTGAGCAGCAACATGAATAAGGGAGAGAGAATTTTTTCCTAGCAAAGTAGGTGAGGAGATGACATTGGATCTGGGACTGGACACATGAGCAAGATTTTACCAGGAAAACGACAGGGAAGAAATACATTGAAGCAAGAGCTAACAACAAGAAGAAAAGACCCCAACCACCACAGAATTGGATTAGGGTTTCTTTTAGAAAGAGCAGGTAGTCTCCTGTGCTAGAGGCATATATGACGTGTGGAGCAGAATGAGGGAGATAAAAATCGGAGCCAGAGAACAGAAGCTCTGATGCACAATATGAGGGGGTCTTTTCTCCCCCTGGTCTATTTGCTGTTTTAAGAAGGGACCTGAAAATAATAGAGTCAGGTGGAAAGTTGTTTAGAAGAGGGTGAAACCAGAAGCAGAAAGTCCAGTAAGAGCTTGTTGTAATAGGCCAGGTACGAAATATGGAGGCTCATAACTTGGGCAGTGGCGGGGAGCCACTGTGGGGTTGATCTCAGTTCAGAAATCAGTTTAGGAGCCATTGGCAGTTTGTGGAATTAGGTAAAATTCTTCAGGGTGAGTGGGAAGGACTAGAGGAGAAAGGGTTGGAAGGGGAAGCCCTAGAGACCCTAACATCAATGGGAATGAAAGCAGCTAAGACAAGACAAGAAAGGAAATCAGCCAGAATTACAAGGAAAGCCAGGGTCAAACATGGCCGTTTATCACTCATGAATTGTGAGGGTGGTTTCCATAGTGGTGGTGATGGGAGGCAGACTGAGGGGATTAAAGAGGGAGAAAGAAAGGAAGCAGGAAATAAGGATCACTCTTCCACGAAGTTTGAAAATGGAGGACAAGAGCAAGATGACATAGGAGGGTCAAGAAAAAGATTAGGATGGGTGGAAGAGAGAAGATAAAGAAGAATTTTGAAAAAGTGGCATGAAAGCAGGTAAGACAAGCAGACAGGAGAGACAGAGATTGGAAGGGATTATGGTAAAGAGAATGCCGAGAAATGTGAAAGCTCTGAGGCTTCACGGAATCCAATGCTCTGTTGATAATCTTTTATCACCGGCCTTTGAGATCTATTAGCAAAATATTCAGTTTTCACCCATCTTATCTGACTAAGTTGGGAAATTTCACTCTAATGAGAACAGAGGCAGTCTTTGACCTGCTCTAGTAGTGATCATAGCAAATACCTCCAGGTGAAACCATATCAATATAATCGTAACTAACAACATTAATTCTAATGAATTTAAATTGTATCTAAAAGTGGTTTCCTTATATAGGATCTGACAAAACACAGAAGGTTAACACTATACTAGTCACCAGGAGTGCTTATTGCTAAATTTGGACTATATGAAGAATTAAACACTAGGATGGGTCCATTCACTTTATTCCTCTATTAGCTGGATGGGGTGGGAGTGGGGATCCATCCTCTGAAAATAATCATTTCAAATAAACTATTGAAGTCGATGATTCAGACTCCTTGGTGCAAGAGATAGTCCTCACTTTACAGAGGAGAATTTATGCCTGCGGTTGGCTTAAAAGTCAGAAAAGGAGCTGTTATTCTAGAAACTGACTATGGTGGCCATGGAGATAAGGTGGCAGGCAAAGATACAGAAGAGTCCACATAAGTGTCAGAAGTCCCAGGGCCCCTACATACTAAAATTTAGGGGGGGAAATTACAGGACTATGGAAATATGTATAGACAGGATGCATGTTGCAATATTGCTCATGACACTGAAAACCTAAAATGCACTTAATAGGCCTCTAATCAGAAAGTGTTAAATGTATTAAATCACATCCATACAGGGGTTTACTATGTAGTCAGGAAAACTATAGAGTGAGAATAGCTGGCATTTACTGCTTGCTTCCTCTGTGCCAGGCACATATTACTGGATTTATCTTAAACTTGACAGCAGACTTTTGAGGGTGTGGTATTCGTATTATTTACATTTTACTAAGATGCCAAGCACCTGAATAACTTGTGCAAAGTCATGCAACTAGTTGCTGGTAGAGTCAAGATTTGAATCCAAGCAGTCTTATTCTACTCCTGGTAACTTTCGTTGTTGATATTGAGGTACTAATATGGGAAGATGATGTATAACTGGATCCAGTACACCTAGGACCCAGGGATGAAGCCTGAGGCCAGAAGTGACGAAGGGTCATGATGGGCAGGATCCAGGCTTGGGGTTTGGCATAGTGTGAGTGATAGAGGCAAGAAGAGTGGTCCTGAGGGGTTGGCGCTGTGGCCAAGGCTGAGGGTGACTTGTACAATCGGGAGAGGCTGACGTACCGAGTGAAGTATAGATCTGATTTTAATCTCCAAACACCTTGTTTGAAGGTGAGGACATCATACAAGTAACTTGGTGATGGTATTTTCAACTCCATTATCAACATTGTAAAATAAATTTCCTTACAATAAGACCAAAAGGGCTTAATGACGAGCATTGCATAATATATAGAATTGCTGCATCATTGCATTGTACACCTGAACTTGCTGTAACACTGTAGGTTAATTATACTTGAATCAAGAAGAAAGACTGACTGCCCAGCCCTGTGATATGTTATCGGCACAGTTATTGCTTCACAGGTGTGCAGCAGGGGAGTAAGTGACATCATTATGTCTACTTTGTCTGCTTTTATGGTTTTTTTTAAAAGATTTATTTATTTATTTGAGAGAGAGAGAGGGAGGGAGGGAGCACAAGTGGGAAGAGCAGGGAGAGGGAGAGAGAATCTCAAGTAGACTCTGCACTCGAAGCCCCAAACAGGGTTTGATCTCAGGATCCTGAGATCTCAACCTGCACTGAAACCCATAGTCAGGGGCTTAACCGACTGAGCCACCCAGGCACCCCTGCTTTTATGTTTTAACTAAGTTTAGGTGAGACATTTCTTTGCCTGCTATTGTAAAATCTAGGACCTTTATATACTTGAATCTTCTTTTCAAGAAATAACTTTTTAAAATGTACATATTAATATGCAACCATTACTGAGGAAATTAGAAGCAACAAATGAGCAAATGAGGAAAAGAATAACCCCTCATCATCTTATCATCAAGAAATGAAATCATTCACATTTTATTGCAAATCTGACAAATTTCTTTGGTGAATACTATACATTTAAATTTGTTCTTGTCTGTTTCCAATTTTTCCAGGAGCAGTGGGTGATTGGATAAACTACTTTACTTCAAAGCAGAGGAGAGTATTTGATGAACTATTCACAGAGAAAATGAAACACAGTGAACTAGCAAGACACTTTGAAGATTACTCTTAATATAAATGGGAAATGAAACCACTTTCCAGGGGCACCTGGGTGGCTCAGTGGGTTAAGCATCTGCCTTCGGCGCAGGTCATGATCCCGGGGTCCCCTCGGGGAGCCTGCTTCTCCCTCTCCCTCTGCCCTTCCCCCTCACTCATGCTTGCTCTCTCGCACTGTCTCTCTCAAATAAATAAATAAAATATTTATTTTTAAAAAAGACCACTTTCTGTTTTATGGGATGCAGTACTTGGGGATTACATAAATATTTTTTTTACCAATACGAGAAGCAGATATTTCTTTCAGTGAGAAATGGACACTTCACGAATGTGTCAAAAGTGTCATGTATGAGAGACTGTTTTTACTATATTTGGTGATAGGAGAGAATTATTAATAAAAGAAAGTATGCGATTTTGAAATGACCGAACTATATATCTGCTTTCAGGATATTCATAAGGCAAGGAGATCACTTCTATTCAGGAGAGCCTATTACTGCGGGTGTTCTATAAACTGCATTAATGGACAACAAAAACAGTGAGGGATTATCTAAAATAGGAAATGTCTGAGAAGAATTTATTTTCTGCCTATTTGGACACGATGACCTCTAAACAAACATTTTCATTTCAACACTCCCTGGTGTCTGTGTAGAAATCTTCCCCATTGTCATAACAATGACAAACATAATCTTACTAAGGTGGAACACTTAATAGGTAGATCATATCAAATGATCACAACCCGGTACACTGGTGAAAATGAAGAATGAAAAGATACTCTTTCACATTAAAGTAACACTGGTATAGCATTGCAGTATTTTCTTTATCTTTTATAAAGTCAATTAAATTACAGAATTTCTTATTTTCCACTTGGTTTTCCTTGAAGTATTTATGATTTTTTTTTCCCAGTATTTCAGAATGTGTTCTTTCTTCCAATAGCATTTCCAGGATTAATTCAATTTCTATTTTTCTCTCTCTCCTGTGATGAGTATTATTCTGCAGCTTTAGTCTAGAAGACATTGTAATGAAATTTCAGTGAACTTAGTTCAGGATTATTACCTAAATGACAATACACCATTTATGAGCAGCTACATCATATTGCTTACATCTGTGCCACAGTACCTAACTCAAGGCTGCAAAATGATGGGTTGAGTGAGTTAACTCAACCAAACACTTTGCTTTTGTACCTCAGTGTACTGCGAATCTTATTTCTAGTAACAAATCTGTTGGGAGTCTTCTGTATCAGGTTTATCACTATTCAGGAAGTATGAGATCTTCACATATCTCCTATATGTACATACTTGTTACAAATAAAATGTATTCCAGAAAGACAACCAGGTGTGATCTTCGTCAAGTGTTCGTCTTCACACTGGAGTTAATTTCACACTTAACTCTCCCTGCTGTAGATGTGTAAAGAATGACAAAGCCATCACAGTGAGACGAGG